AAAGGGACTGTTGTCAGTCCGGTGGCAGTGAAGGTCATTTTTTCTGGGACAGTTACCTGTTTATTTTCAGTTTGAACACCAATAACATCACAGTGACCTAGCTGTTTACCATTACTGATCAGGGAACAGTAGGTTGATGCCACCTGTTCTGGTTTGTCTGCAGCATTACCTGACTTGTTTCAGTGGCACTGTAGCGGTGCCTTTTCTCCTGGCTGAGGCCATGTGTGTTGGTCGAGACCAAAGCACCATCAGTCAGCTGATTGGAACCATTTTCACCACTGTTGGAATCACAACTCTGATCCAAACCACCGTGGGAGTCAGGTGAGTTTGTAGGAGTCATGTACGTCTGTGGGAGTCAGGTGAGTCTAACTGGTATGTCTGTGTGTTTAGACTCCCTCTGTTTCAGGCCAGTGCATTTGCATTCCTGATTCCCGCTCAGGCGATCCTCAGTCTGGACAGGTGGAAGTGTCCCCCTGAAGGTGAGACAGACTGTCATGAACTCACACAGATCAGAATAGCTGGACACAAATGCTCGACACAGATATGGTTCAGGCAAAAAGGCAGGTTTATTACCGGTCAGGGTTCGGTACACAGAAGGTCAGCCAAAACAGGCGGAGGTATCCAAAAAGCGAGAGGCGAAAGGCAAGGTCCAAAAACAGAAGCGAGGTCGTAACGAAACAGACTGTGACTATGGCTATGAAGAAACGCTGGTACGAAGACCGAGAAGTGCAACGAACTGGCAACGAGACTGTGAGACACACAGGGTAATATACACGAGGTAATGAGAGGAGATGGGGAACAGGTGAGGGAAAGCCATCAGGGAGCAGGTGTGATGAGACGGGGGCAGGAAGTAAATCTAAGACAGAGACAACCAGTTAGTGTTTGCAAAATAAAACAGGAAAGACAAGACATCAAATGTGCAGACATGAACAGAAAGTTGACAGACATGACACAGACTGTTTGTTTACTATTATGTATAAATTAGTCTTTTGTAAATAAAGAGTATGATTTAAAAAAAAAAAAAAAGAATCATGTGATTTGTTGTTTTTCCTTTGCAGAAGAGATTTATGGGAACTGGAGTCTTCCACTGAATACCTCACACATCTGGCAGCCTCGTATCAGAGAGGTACAATCGTTATCTCCATAGGTGTGGTTGATGTAGAGGGCCGAACCAAACTGCATGGGGTGTGTGTGAGGTTCACTCTGAGATGCTGGAAGCTCTGCACGATGTTGGTTTGTTTAGTTGATCCCCCAAAGTCTTGAGGACGCCTGTACCCGTGGATGGTTGGACAAAGTTCAGCTGTCTGGCTGATGATAGACACTCTGGCTGATTGTCCCAGATTCAAGAGGACCAATGTGGCTGTAGTTCTGGATCATTGGATCCTAAAAAAGTCCTGGCGGTTTGTCCGTCTAGTGTTCTGTGGCTTTTGGGAAGGTTTTAGACTCTGTCTACGCAATTGAGTCTGTCAGCTCTCGTCCAACTGGAGAGCTGTGTCTTCAGCAGGTACAACGTATCCTCAGGTGGTGCTGGACTGACTCTTGAAGGTGCAGTTGAGCTGTGAAGCCTTAAGATGGTGATTCTGCTGGGTCATGAGAGCTGGGCATCTCGGTACTCCTGAGTCAGGGTCAGATCAGGAGGCCATCAGAGTGTCTGCTGGAGCTGCTGTTTACTTGTTGACTTATTTTTTTGTTTGTAGATTCAGGGGGCCATCGTGGTGTCCAGCCTAGTGGAGGTACTGATTGGTCTGTGTGGGCTTCCTGGTCTGCTGCTCGAGTACATCGGTCCGCTGACCATCACTCCAACTGTCTCATTGATTGGCCTGTCGGTGTTCACCACCGCTGGAGACAGAGCAGGGTCCCACTGGGGCCTGTCTGTGCTGTGAGACAAATGTCTGTCTGACTGTCTGTCTGACTGACTGACTGACTGACTGACTGACTGACTGACTGACTGACTGTCTGTCTAAATGTCTGTCTGTCTGACTGACTGACTGTCTGTCTGACTGTCTGTTTGACTGACTGACTGACTGACTGTCTGTCTAAATGTCTGACTGTCTGTCTGTCTGTCTGTCTGTCTGTCTGTCTGTCTGTCTGACTGTCTGACTGACTGACTGTCTGACTGACTGACTGACTGACTGACTGACTGACTGTCTGTGTGTCTGACTGTCTGTCTGTCTGTCTGTCTGTCTGTCTGACTCTCTGACTGACTGACTGACTGACTGACTGACTGACTGTTCTCACTGTAAGCCACATGTTTGAACACTTGTCTGTCTCTTCACTCATGAATATGAAATATTAGACAGGGAAACAGGTAGACAAGTGGACAAATATGCAGGTATACAGCTGTCTCTCTCTCTCTCTGCAGGTGTATTTTGCTGATCGTGCTGTTTGCTCAGTACCTGAGAGCAACATCACTTCCTGTTCCTGTTTACAGCAGAGAGAAAGGACTGACATTGACCAGAGTCCAGATCTTCAAGATGTTTCCTGTAAATACAAACACCCAAACACGACAGGTGGTGATGTCAGGTGGCGGTGTGAGGTGGTGTAATTTCCTTTCATCTTACTTCTGTCCTCTCTTCAGATCATCCTCGCCATCATGGTGGTTTGGCTTGTCTGCTACATCCTGACTCTAACTAACCTGTTGCCAAGTGACCCTGATCGCTATGGGCACAAAGGTCGGACTGATGCCCGTGGTGACATCATGACCTCATCACCCTGGTTCAGGGTGCCGTACCCTTGTAAGAGACCTGACATCAGCCAATCACAGACTTTCAAACAGTGGCTGACCTGATGACGAAGACAACAGATCTCTGACTTCCTGTTGCCCCCTTCTGTTTCTGATAGGCCAGTGGGGGTTACCGGTGGTAACGGTTGCTGGAGTGCTGGGGATGCTGAGTGCAACCATGGCAGGTATCGTGGAATCGATCGGAGATTACTACATATGCGCTCGTCTTTCTGGAGCCACGCCCCCACCGGTACACGCTATCAACAGGTGAGACAGGGCGCAATCTCAGGTGAACTCTGCCGCCACAAGGGTTAGGTGCTTTTATGTTTGTTTATTTGTTTCAGAGGAATTTTCACTGAGGGTGTCTGCTGCATCATCGCTGGTCTGTTAGGGACAGGAAACGGCTCCACCTCCTCCAGTCCAAATATTGGCGTCCTGGGACTCACCAAGGTAACCAAGGCCATGCACACACGGGTGGGTTTGCTTGGTAGGAGGTTACTGGAGGTCACTCAGAGCGCCAAGTGAGGTGGACAGCAGACGGATAGTGCAGTACGGAGCAGACATCATGTGTTAATAGTAGGATGTTTGATTTGTTGAACCTGTGTCCAGGTGGGCAGCAGGCGGGTGGTGCAGTACGGAGCTGGCATCATGTTCCTACTTGGATCTGTCGGGAAGTTTACAGCCCTGTTCGCCTCGCTGCCAGACCCGATACTCGGAGGTCTGTTCTGCACTCTGTTTGGTGAGTCACAGGGGACAGGTGTTGGTACAGATGTGCTGTTGATGTCACCTTTAATACAGGTGTGTGCGTCCCTCAGGTATGATCACAGCTGTTGGCCTGTCCAACCTACAGCTGGTGGATCTGAACTCATCCAGAAACCTGTTTGTTCTCGGGTTCTCCATGTTCTTCGGTCTGACACTGCCTACGTACCTGGACACACACCCCAACTCCATCAGAACAGGTGAGTCTGTGAGAGCATCTGTGTGTGTGTGTGTGTGTGTGTGTGTGTGTGTGGGTGTGTTTGTACTCCATCAGTGTATTAAGTAAAAACTTAAAGTTTTTCCTAAATATGTTAATGGGAGAATCTTTATTTAAATAGATTTATGGATCTGTTACATGTAAGATGATTAAAAAAAATTATTGATCCTTTTGCAGGGAAATTAACTCACTAAAACAACGAGATACATATATATGAAGTTCAATTAAAAACAACTAAAGTGCAATAAGGATAAAATAAAGATGAAACAAGGACTATGATGATATGTACAGGTATGGAATGGGTAGTCTACTCATTTGTAGAATACACATAGTCTGTAGAATTGTACTTAAATGTATAAAAAGTAACATTGTCATGGATTTGAAGAGCTGTAGAGAGACATTGCTGCATTTTCTTGTTTCACATGAAGAACTATATAAAGAAAAACTGTTCAAAGATAAAGTTGTTCTTTAGAAGCTGTCATGAGAAAGGTGGTACAGTATGTAGTTACACATCAGTGGACGTGCTATGTGATGGACAGTCTGCTGCAGGAGCTGAGAGGTGTTGTTCATGATGGATGTCAGCTTCTTCAACATCGTCCTCCAGAGCAGGACCTCCTGACCAGTCTGTTCTGTTTCCTTCTATCACTGTCTGCGTTTCCACATCTCCAGCAGATCACTGGAGAAAAGGTTTCAGAAGCCACCACAGTGTCATAGAAGGTCTTTAACAGTGTTGTGTACATTCCAAAGGACCTCAGTCTCCTCAGCATGTGGAGATGACTTTGACCCTTCTTATACAGGATGTCTGTATTGTCTGACCAGTCCAGTTTATGGTTGAGGTGAACACCCAGGTACTTGTACTCCTCCACCATCTCCATGTACCTGGATGTTCACCAGTGTACTCTGGGGTGATTTCCGGTGGAAGTCCATCACCAGCTCTTTTGTCTTGCTGGTGTTTAGGTGGCGATAGTTCAGCTCACACCAGTAGAAAAATCCTAGATGACATCCTAGGTGACGGTCCACCCCTGCTCCCTCCAGCTTCCCCTTGAGCAGTGATGGTTGAATTGTGTTTAAAGCACTAGAGAAGTACAAAACATGACCCTCACAGGGCTCCCTGTGCTCTCCAGGTGTGAGAGCAATCTGTGTGGCAGGTAGATGACCACATCATCCATCCCAGTACCAGACCGATATGCAAGCTGCAAAGGGTTCATGTATGAGCTCACCAAGGGTCCAAGGTGCTTCAATACAATCCTCTCCAAGGTCTTCATGTGGTGCAAAGTTAAGGAAACAGGTCTGAAGTGTTTGGGGTCCCTGGGGTGTGCAGTCTTTGGAACTGGAACCACACAGAAGTTTTTCACAGAACCAGGACTCCCTCCAGGCTCCGCCTAACCCTAACCCTTCCTCACCTTGATCTTCTCACCTCCCTCCTTATCTGGTCAGCTGTTAGTGAGTGACTGAGGGGAGGGGTGTAGTAATGTAGGGTGGGTTTAGGGTTGGTGGGTGAGGGACTGAAACCCAAAACAAGTCTGTTGAAGAACAGATTCAGGTGTTTTGCCAATTTCTGGTCACCAGATTTCAGCCTTCTTCCCCCACCATTGCTGTAATCTGAGATGGTTTTCAGACCTTTACAACTCACTGGTGTTGTTTGGTGTCAGGTGATGTTTCAGTTTCCTCCCGTAGCTGTCCTTGTCTAAACTGACAATGAGGAGGGAAAACAGTAAAGGATGTGTAGATCTGTTACATGTAGAATAGGTCTTTGTTTCGATCCAATTTTTGCAGATCGATTGTTTGTGTAAATCTGTTAGCTGTAAATCTGTTACATGTAGAACTACGAGATATACGTCTGACAGATTCGCGCTGTGTGTTCAGGTTTTGCAGAGCTCGATCAGATCCTGACAGTTCTTCTTTCCACTGAAATGTTTGTTGGAGGTTTTCTGGCTTTTTGTCTCGACAACTCAATACCAGGTAATACACACACACACACACACACACACACACACACACCATCCATCCATCCATCCATCCATCCATCCATCCATCCATCCATCCATCCATCAGTGATCACTTGATGCAAGTATGATTGTGCTCCTGTCGGTGGGTCTGGTCACTTGTGGGTCATCAGGTGGTGTTTGAGGCCGATCCTTGATCCACAGACTCTTTTGTAGGGGCGGCATATGTAGATTGTTGTCCTGGTGGTTGTGGTTTGGGTTTGGGGAGCTGTTTTGGCGGTGGGTCTCTCCTTCCTCTGCTGCCTTTTTGCTTCTGTGGCACGGTGGAGGTCCTTTTCTAGCTGTGCTGTGCCCTCATGGACCATCCTGCTCCATGCATCTCTCTTGAGAGGAACCTCCATCCATCCATTATCTATACACTGCTTAATCCTCACTAGGGCTGTGGGGGCGCTGGAGTCTATCCCACTTAGGGCGAAGGCAGGGGACACCCTGGACAGGTCGCCAGTCTATCGCAGGGCTACACTTAGAGACAGACAACCAAGCACACTCACATTCACACCTACGGACAATTTACAATCACCAATTAACCTCAGCATGTTTCTGGACTGTGGGAGGAAGCTGGAGAACCCGGAGAGAACCCACTCTGCACGGGGAGAACTCCACGCAGAAAGATCCCGGGTGTCCTCACCGGGACGCGAACTGGCGACCTTCTAGCTGCAACAGTGCTACCAACTGAGCCACCTTGCAGCCCTTGAGAGCAACCTCCTCCCAGTTATTGCGGTTGAAGTGTCACTTTCAGATGTGGGTTTTGATGTTGTCTTTGCACCGCTTCCTTGGTCCCCCTTGGGTGTGCTTTCCTTCCCTTACTTGGCTGTACAACATCTGTTTCAGAAGGTGATTGTTAGGCATGCATATCACATGGCCTGTCCATTGTAGCTGCTGCCTAATGATGGTTGTAGTGATGCTGGCGATGTTGGCTTCCTTCGAGACACTGATGTTGGTCCACCTATCTTCCTAGCTGATTCTAAAGATCTTGTGGAGATATTGCTGGTGGTATTGTTCCAGGGCTTTGAGATGTCTGCTGTAGGTGGTCAAGCTATCAGCCCCATACAGCAGAGTGGGCAGAACTACTGTTTGATAAACCAGGGGCCTCATTTATCATCAGTGCGTACGCACAGATATGTGCTTAGAGCGTGTGTACGAACATTCCTATGCAAAGTATGAAATTTATCAACTTGTACTTATACTTAGGACTGTGCGTAAATATACGCACACCTCTGACCATGCGTACACACATGATCTAGCGGTAGAACAGTGAAACTACAAATAGAAAGCATTCTGGGATTTTGACCACCGGCACATTCCAGCGTGAGGTTGGAGATATATGCGGCATTTCCAGCATCACTGAGCAGGATCAAGCCGGCAGTGTTGGATGCCATACCTCCCCTGGTCCCAGCCTACATCCAGGTGGATGCCATACCTCCCCTGGTCCCAGCCTACATCCAGGTGGATGCCGTACCTCCCCTGGTCCCAGCCTACATCCAGCTCGATGCCGTACCTCCCCTGGTCCCAGCCTACATCCAGCTCTCTTACAGCCATCACTGATGAGCCCAAATCAAACGGGGACTTAACGCCATCGCTGGATTCCCAAACATAAGTGGAGCCACAGACTGCACCCACATCACAGTCAAAGCAGCATCACTAAACGAGCTCAATTTTGTAAATAGAAAAGGATTTCATTCAATCAACGTCCAGATAATCTGCGCTGCGCATTTGTGGCTATCCAACGTTGTTGCCGGCGGCCTGGAGGAACACGACTCATTCATTGAGCAGAACAGTTCTGTGGGTCTCCAAGCAGGAGCTGCTGAGGACGGCTGGCTTATTGGTGAGTGTCACAGGGTGGAGATGTTTCAGCTGGACTTAGTCTGGTTATTAAACATCTCATCTGCAGTGATCAGGGTTATCCACTGGGTGGACGTTGGTATGAACTCCTCCTCCAGTTGCATCAGTTCTCTTTTATGGGCTGTGATGCTTTTTTTGGCACTGAGCTTAACGTCAAACCACTTTTTAAATTTTTTGCCACCGATCTGTCCTCTGACCAACAGAAATAACTGCTGTGGTTTTCTTGTCTGCAGTATTTCTCCTTTCACTGCTCATCCCAACATTTCACGCTACAAACAATATTCTCTGGTTTGCTTCAACCTCGCTGACACGTACCTCGATCTCAGTTTCATAAAAGTTCCTCTTTTTCGGCCTTTTTGCCGCGATGATGACGACAGGTGAGGAAAATAAATCTTCACTTGCTTATAAAGAAGCGTGTTGTTGCCCTGTACGGTGATTTGGAGGCGTTCCTGAAGGCAACGTGCACGAGCACGGAGGTTAAGAACAAGTAGGATTTATCAACACTGATGTGCTACGACCCCGTACGCACGTTTGATAAATACGGATTTTTTTGTTCTTACGCACACTCTACATTTCATTCGTACAACAGAATTTAGAACCTTTTCTACGCACTGATGATAAATGAGGACCCAGGAGTTTGGTCCTGGTCTGAATGTCACAGCTCTAGAAAACTCTTTTCCTCAGCTTAGCAAAAGGTGCACTGCACACTGTATGCAGTGGTGAATTTCGGGGTCAATGACAGCTTTTGTGGAAAGAGGACTGCCAAGGTAGGCGAATTGATCCACATTTTCCAGAAGGTTGTTGTCCACATAAATTGTGGGGGCCTGGTAGGGTGTGTCAGGAGCTGGTTGGTGTGGAATCAGAGATTTCCTGATGTTAATATCGAGTCCCAGAAGTTGGTAGGCCCTGGAAAAGACATCCATGATATTCTGGAAGTCAGAGTGAACAACTCAGGCATAATCATCAGCGTACAGGGAGATAAAGATAGAAAAATGGGTCGGTGCAATGATGCTGAATCTGCTGGAATCCCATCTGGTCCAGAGGCCTTGTTTTTGCTTAGTCTCCTGATGGCATCCAGAACCTCACTTTCGGTGGGGAGGTCAAATGCTCCATGATAGGCCGCTAAGGAATCTGGTTGATGGTTTCCATATCAACTGTGGTGTTCCAGTTCAGTAGCTCTTGGAAGTGCTCTTGCCATGTGGAACTGATCCCTACATCGTCCTTCAGCAGGTTTTGCCCATCGTTGGAGTGGACGGGATTGAGACCTCGATAACTGGGGTCATACACAGCTTTGGTGGCATTGAAGAAACCCCTGGTGTCACCCGAGTCAGCAAGCCGCTGGATCTCTAGGGCCTTCTCCATCCACCACTGATTTTTTAACTCTCTCACTCTGCACTGGACAAGTGCCTTTGCCTTGGAGTGGGCCTGCCTTTTAGCCCTACAGTGGATGTCATTCTGCCAAGAACAAAAGGCTTTCCTTTTGGCATCAATTTGCTGTTCTATTTCAATGTCATTGTCATCAAACCAGTCTTGGTGTTTCCTGGCCTTGTAGCCAAGGGTGTCCCTGCTGGCCTTGAATAAGGTGATCTTAAGGGTCTTCCAGTGTTCTTCCACATCCTCAGGAAAGTCTTCAGGGAGCCTTTCAAGCAGGGTTTTCTGAAATTGTTGCACCATGTTTATGTCTCCCAGGCTGCTGATGTTGAATTTAGGGCGGGTTTGCTTCCTTTGATTCCTCCTTTTCTGCCGTAGCTGAATGTTCATTGTGGAGCTGATTAGGTGATGGTCTGTCCAGCAATCGTCCATGTAGGTCATGGCCCTGGTGATGTTAACATCCTTACGATCTCTGGCCCTGACAATCACGTAATCAATGAGATGCCAGCGCTTCGATCAGGGGTGCATCCAGGAGGATTTGAACCTGTTTCTTTGGCGGAAGAGAGTGTTTGTTATGACCAGCTCATGTTCAGCACACTTTGACAGTAGGAGGACACCACTGGAGTTGGCATTCTCAACACCCTCTTTGCCTAAAGTGACGTTCCAGAACTTGTGATCCTTGCCGACCCTGGCATTGAAATCCCCAAGTAGGAGGATCTTATCCTGTTTTGGGATGCTTGATAGGACCTGGTCCAGAGTTCCGTAGAAGGTCTCCTTGTGAGTCCAAGGTTGGTGCATAGGCACTCACAGGCAGTGGCCATCTGATCGTTTGAGAGCCTTGGGCGTAGAGTCATGAGGCGGTCATTGATGCCTGCTGGAGATTCGGAGAGTTGGGAGGTGAGTCGAGTCTTCATGACAAGTCCCACTTCGTGGATTCTGGCTTCATCAGCCTCTTTTCCCTTCTAGAAAAAGGTATATCCACCTTTCTCCTCCTTCAGTTGCCCCTCCTCAGCCAGGGGGCTTTCAGACAGGGCAGCAATGTCGATGTTAAGCCTTTTCAGCTCCCTGGAAATTATTGCAGATCTTCTTGAGGGACGATCACTGGAGGCACTGTCCATAAGTGTCCTCACATTCCAGGCTCCAACATTTAGTGTTTTTTATTTTCAACCACTATACGGTGAACCCACTAGATGCAGTATTCCAGTCAGGCTTAAAGAGGTAGGCTATTTTTAGGCCACCTTTTCTAGCCCCTTCCCCCATATGGGGTGAGCAGAGTGGGTCCTTAATAGGGCTGCTCAGACCGCCGCCTATGTGCCAGTGCATGGCTAGGAGCTCCCAGACTTCACTGTCCTGCTCCCGTTACCATTTCCTGATTGCCATCGGACTTGAGGGGGGTTTGTGGGGTATGGGGAGATCGTTCAGGAGACCGCCTGTGTGTGAAATCGTTTAGAGTGGGGAGACTGGTGCACAGGCAGCTCCCACACTGCAGTTGGCAGAGAGAAGGCCCGAATCCAATGGCATGAAAAAAAAAAGACGATTGGTGACCTCCCTTTGCTGCAGCCTTCTTCTGCCTTTGTGATCGTTGGTGGAGCCCCTCTGCTGCCATCTTCCACCCACTCTGCCGTTGAAGGACTTATTCAGATCGCTCTTCGTCTGGAACCTCCCCTTCAACCTTACCGCCATGGGTGACCCTACCGGGAGCTTAAGCTCCAGATGGCATCGCTCTCAGATTCATTGGAACATGCAAGACTCTCCACCAAGGCAAGGTGGCGATCCAAGGAGAACTACACACACACACACACACACACACACACACAATAACTCAGCTTATAGTGTATTTCTGAGTTAGTACTGAAGCCTTTCAGGTCCACTGATCACCTGCAGCGATTGAGATGTTTTCTTATTCTCAGGTTCCCGTCAGGAGCGTGGGCTGGTTGGCTGGAGGTCCTCCGACTCATCCTCTTCCTGCTCCTATGACCTGCCTGTCGGGATGGACATGGTCAGACGGACTCGCTGGCTCCGACGGTTTCCCATCAGCCCCTCCTTCACAGGTTTCAGGGCATCCAATGATGTGCCGCCACCTGAACAGGAGGAGGAAGGGGAAGAGGAGGGAGCTGCTGACGTCCACCTGTCCAGCACCAAGGTGTGAGGATGACATCATCCTCACACCTGCCAGGTGGCTGAACTGAGAGCTGGAAGCTGTTGTGTCCATATCACACTGTATCACTTTAAATTCTGTGCCAAAACCTCAGGCCAACTTTTTACTCCTGCAACTTAAACTTTGTGTTTTTGTATTTTAATCAGTCTGATTTTTTTAATTTTATATATATATATATATATATATATATATTGTTTTTTTGTTGTTTGTTTGTTTTGTTTTTTTTGCTGCTGCATTTATTAGCTGACAGTGAAATCTCTGACAGCCTATTTGGGAGTTAATAGATGGCAGAAAGACTTTGAAGTGTCCAGCAGGGCTGAACTCATTAACAATCTATTGTAATGTGTCATACAGGTATGTACTGTTATTCTCTCTGAGTTCCCCTTTTAGCCTGATTTTGTCCACATTCAGTTAAATTCTGTCTCTTCAGCAGCAGAACTGTCTGGAGCTGCTGCTGTCTGCAGAGACTCGCTGATGTTCAGACTAACATCACTTAAGAATGTGAGACTGAAAAAACTAAAATCAGACAGACTCTGTATGGAGCAAACAGGCAGGTGAGCAGACATACAGGTGAGGAGACCAACAGGTGAACGTACAGACAAGTAACAGAGTTCTGCGATGTCTAAGTACAGCTCTTGTCTACAGAAGACTGATGTTTAGACAAACACAACTTATGGCTGATACTGAAGGAAACTAAAATCAGACAGATTTTTGATGGAGTTGTGGGTCTGAGGTGTTTGTAAATCACAGCATCTTTGTCTCTAGTTCAGCTCTGCAGCGCCCCCTGTGGAAGCCAGAGGAAGTGTTGTAGAATTCCAGGGTTGAGATAACCTCCCCCCTGTTACCGTGGAAACCAAAACACCTTAAAGACGGCCAACTCAGTAAAAGATCTGGCAACATGTTTTGCTTTCCACTTTTTAAAAAATGTTATTTAGAGCACTGTAATATTGACAGGATTCCTATTAGTTCATGTTGCTATAACTAAAATGTGAACATTAAAACAGTCCAAAAAATGTGCAAAAAAGAGGAAACCTTTTTTTCTTGACTGACAGCAGCTAGTTTTTCACTTGTGTGTTTAAACATAATTCTATTGGTTGGTTAAAACTTGTTCAAGCTGAAAAGATATAAATAAACAAAACAAAATGAAGCTTGATCATATTTGTGTGTTTTGACATGAGAAGTGATGAAGTCTCTCAATCAAGTTTGTCATCAAATATCTTCCAATCAATAATTTTATGGGTCATTAGAGAATCAGGTTTTCTGTCACCATGTACGAGTGCATTTAAAACAATTAGAACATCACAGAACTTTGTTTTTCATCAACTATTTCAAAAAGGTCAACTTTCATATATTCTATATTTATTACATGCAAAGTGAAATATTGTTTCAACCTTGATGATTATGGTTTTTGACTCATAAAAATCAAAAGTAACCATCCATCCATCATCTCTACACCTTAATCCTCACTGTGGAGGGCGGAGCCTATCCCAGCTGACTCAGGGTGAAGGCAGGTTCACCTGGACAGGTAACCAGTCTATCACAGGGCTACACTTAGAGACAGACAACCAAGCACACTCACATTCACACCTACGGACAATTTACAATCACCAATTAACCTCAGCATGTTTCTGGACTGTGGGAGGAAGCCGGAGAACCCGGAGAGAACCCACGCTGCACGGGGAGAACATGGAGACTCCACGCAGGAAGATCCCGGGTGTCCTCACCGGGACGCCAACCGGCGACCTTCTAGCTGTGAGGCCCCATCAAAAATCATCAAAAACCATCAAAGATAAACCAAAAAGGATTTCCAACACAGAGATGTTGAACTTGTCTCTCCATCATTTAGTACCACGAGTTCCTGCATCAGTGAATCATGGAGGAGATCAGCCTGAAGTTCTGCTGACAGTAGATGAAGCTGTGCTTGGTCTGATGGCCGCCTTCAGCTCGGCTGTATTTTGGGGTTTTACGGAGTTCTCTGGGGTTCCATCAAGCACAGTAACATGCTGACTTTGGACCTGATAGAACTCAGAGGACCAACACCAGCTGATGCCAAGACACCAGAAATCATCTCAGACTGAGGAACCTTCACACTGGACTTCAAACTCTTTGGATTCTGAGCCTCTCCACTCTTCATCCAGACTCTGGACCTTGATCGCCAGATGAAAAGCAGAATTTACCCAGCTAAGATGTTCTGACTGTCTCTGGTTCTGGAGTGTCTTGAAATCATGAATGTGACACTTGTAGCTCCTTTCCTGGAGACGTCGGGTGGTTCTGGATGTTTTGACTCCAGCCTCAGTCCTGTGAAGTTCTCTGGGGTTCTGGAACCATCTTCTCTCTACAGTCCCCTGAAAGCTGATCATCTCAGCTGCTTGTTCATCGTTTCCTGTTTCACTTTTACCTTCAGTCAGCTTTCATTATATAGAACACAATCATGTGTGTCACAGACAGAATCAGTACAGGTTGCTGTTCATTAGCTCCTTGTGTTTCATGTTTCCTGGAAACTTTCAGAACAAAACTTCAAAAAGATGCAACTTGTGTACAAAATTGTGCAAAACACAACCAAAAAAATAACAACATCTTACACACAGGTGACATATTTCAAAGTGTGCAAACAATTACAAATCAATATCAAATCAATGATCGATGAACACAGAAAGTGATGAGCAGCCAACTAAGACCAGTCTGTAAATACTTCAACATGTTCAACCATCATCAGGTTTTTTTCTGTGACACGCTAGTGAATGTGATGTCATCATGGTGCTGTAGGTGTGATGTCATCATGGTGCTGTAAGTGTGATGTCATCACAGTAAGGGGGAGGCATGGCGGGCCGTACAAGGAGGACACGGCCAATGGTGGCGGGAGCCGAATCACTGAAAACATGGTAGGGTTAGCACCACCCACCTGCAGCCCAGCAGGGGCGGGCTTTATCATAATGGGGGCAGGATTAGTACAGCGCCCTGGCAACATGGAGGTGATGTTGGAGGCGGAGCTTGCTCCAGGCAGGAACACCTGGATGAACTGGCCAGTTTCTGGGTCGAGCAGCATCTTTTTTTGAGGCTGTGGGGGTGGGTCCACATAGAAGCACTGCCCACTTTTAGGGTCCAACACCAGGTGACAAGGCCCAGGAACACTGAAGAGGGCTTCAGGTGCTGGAGCAGACTGAGCTATGTCAACAATGAAGTCACCACCCACCTGTGCAGGTAAGAAACCCTGAACCTTGCACAGAAATGGCTGTTGCTGGCGGTGTTGCTGCTGTTGCTGCTGCTGTTGTTGTTGCCCATGCATTGCAGGTGTCACTGCATTGCCGTGTCCCTCTGTAGCTCCCGTGGTCCTGGGAGCAGGTGGAGGCAGCTGCAGCTGGGTCTGGGAATAGCTCAGGGGGCCATGGATGTAGTTGACCTTCCCCAGGTGGGGGTACAGGCTGTGGGAGAAGGTGGGCAGAACAGTGGGGGTGTAGAAGCAGGGCTGGAGGACCTGCTGGGAGGAACCAGGGGCAGACAGGGAGGACCCATACAGGATGGAGCTCTGTTCCAGGTCACAGAGTGGAAGCTGAGTCCTTGGGGGTGGAGGAGGGTGAGGGTGGGACTTCCCAGCTCTCTCTGATTGGCTGAGCTCTGACAGGTCACTGCTTACAGGTGAGGTAGTGGGCAGGTCTAACATGACAGGCCAGGTGATGTCATCATTTCCTCGTCTGCTCATGATTGGCTCGCTGCCTCGTCTCTGCTGTGTGGCTGGACAGCTGAACGTGTTGTTGTGTTTCCTGTTCTGTGATTGGCTGAAAGATGCAGCTACCTTGGCAACATGACCTTTGAACCCCACAGCCTGCTGGTAGGTGGGGGGAGGGCTGTCCTCCTGACCAATAACCTTGAAGCTTGTTGGCTGGTTGTTGCCAGGTGTTGTTGTTGGGAACGACAGGCTGTAGGTGTTTTTCACTAAACTCCTCATGTCTCTTACCACATGAACTGGAGCCTTGAACACACCTGTCCTCCCCCCCTGCAGCTCTGCAGGTAACACAGGTAACACCTCGGGTGTCTTCTTCAGATGAGACGGGTTACTGCTAGTCTGCTCCACCTGCATCTTCTTAGAAAGGACGTTTTTAATGAGGCAAGATGCCATCTTTGTTTTAGTTTCATCTAGAGACAGGGATTTCTGAAGGCGTCTCGAGCTTCCTCCAACCGCTAACCCTGAAAGCACAAGGAACTGGATCAGACTTCCAAATTAAATCGGATCAGAACTCTGAATGAAACCGAGTCAGACCGCAGCCAGACCACATTATTTTAATGCTTCTCTCTCTGGATTTAAAACATTTCCCACAAAAATGTCATTTTAATAAACCACCAATACATTTGTGAAGAATTAAGGTCCTTCAGTTTTTTCATGACAGAAGCTTGTTGATGGTTAATGGGGGACGTTCATTGTTTATTAGCTGTTATTGCCACTTACAATCAGGAGAGGGGCACAGTTTAATGACAGGTAAAAACCAGGTGGGAGTTCCTGACAGGTAAGGGGGGCAGACTTATTGACATATAAAGGTGTTTTTACCTTGGCTGGCCCCTGCGATTAGGCCCTTGTAGACCCTGTAGCCATCGACATCACTGCTGGCCACTGAGCGCGAGTGGAATGAGGCAGGCATACTGTGTTGCCGTAGCAACATGTTGGGGTGTTGACAGACAGATGGACAGACTAGTTCATCGGCTGACACATTATTGTAACCTCCTCCCTCTTCAGCAGGTTCATCTTTCAGCATCACCTGGACAAGTAGAGGGTTGAACAGTGAGTCACCAGCTCCTCTCCTCCATACAGTCAGAACCACCGTTACATTCATTAACTCTGTGTTTGTTCTCTGGATCTGGAGCTTCATGTCTCTGATCTGCAGCCCCTGGCCTCACCGACCCCCAGAATACTGATTGTTGTGTTGGTTCTGGTTGTCTGTTGGTACACAGTTTTTTCCCCCCTCCCAGCTATGGGTTTTTTGTTCCTTCCCACCGTTGCCGACCACTTGCTCAGAGTGATTCCAAAGGCAACTTCAGATTGTTGGGTTCTCTGTTTAAAATTTGCAAAGTCTTCACGATGTTAAGTGCTGTGAGACGACATATGTTGTGAATTCATGCTATGTGAATAAAACTGAAGTGAATTGAACAGACAGGTGAGCAGACAGGTGATCCAACAGACAGACAGGTGAGCAGACAGGTGAGCAGACAGGTGAGCAGACAGGTGAGCAGACAGGTGATCCAACAGACAGACAGACAGACAGACAGGTGAGCAGACAGACAGGTGAGCAGACACACCTGTAGTTTCTCAGTGTTCCCCTGGTTGATGACATTCTCTGAGTCTTGCTTCTTTTTCAACTGAATCTGTCGTTTAGGGACCATCTTTTGCCCCTCCCCCTCCTGAGCGTTCACCTGGATGACAGGTAAGAGATGAAATGGAGAAGAATTCCATTGATCCAGCAGGCCAATCAATAAAGAGACAGATCATTGAGAAGAGCAGCATTGATGAAATCACTCATGAACTCAGGTTTAAGACAGCAAGCAAACAACAGGGAGATCAATGATAGTCATTCAGTTAGTCAGAAAGCCATAATTGAACTCACCTGTGTTTCCATGGTAACATCGACACACTCAAAGCCACTTCCTGGGTCAGATTCCTCGTCATCTGATTGGAGGATGACAGATGAGGAGAAGTGGAGGGAGAGATCCTCCTCCGACCAGTCGCTGATGCTTCCGTCATCGTCCTCCTCTGCTCCCCTGGAGAAACAGGGGGAGCAGATGTCCAGGTAATGTGCCTCACGCTTACCTGGGCAGGTGAGCTCGGAGCTCTTCTCTGTGGGAACTAGTGAACTCAGTGGGGGGATTTGTGCGTCATGGTCATGCTGGGGCAGCAGGTCGACTTCAGGGCAGCGGTGAGCACTGAGGAAAACCTTCTTCCCTCCTCCTGCTCCTCGGTTCAGTCTGCCACTCATAGCTTGTTGTTTGTTTGTTTACTGTGAATGTTTGTCTCTGGAGGAAACAGATGAACAGACGTATTTCAACATGAATGTTTCAGTTCAAAATGTCAGAGACACACATCCAAGCTCCGCCCCTCACAACCTGCACAGTAACATGTCAGAGGCACCAAGCCGACATCTTAAATCAACAGATGGAAACATGAACAAACTTAAGAGAAATGCTCAACAAATGTTTTAGCTAAACAAAAACAGTTCAGTTATTCCAGTGGGATTTGTTACAGTGTCTGTCTGGACACAGATCATACAGGTCTGTAGTCAAACAGCAGCAAACTGTGGCTGAAGGTAAAAACATTCAAAAGCTCTGAATAAGCCTGAATCCACACTGGGCCTTGAGACCATGTGGTTCTGGTGTGGTTCATATGCTGAGGTCTGGATGCAGAAAGCTGAACTATGAAGTGAGATTGAGGTCTTAGCAGGTATGAAGAGTCAGAGTTTTCAGTGCCCCTCTTTAAACTGATAGATCTCCATGGTAACTGATGCTGTGGAGCTAGGTCTCCATGGTAACTGATGCTG